GAAATTTTAAGCAAAAAGAAAAAAAAAATAGTGGATAGGAAAAGAAAGAAAATTTATGGAAATGTTGGAAAACCTTCGATTAAAACCCTCGGTCGAAAAGAAAAAAAGGTTTTCTTTTTTCTTTTTTTTTGGAAAACCAACTTTTGGTAAACGACCTTTGGAATTTTTAATTTTTCCAACAAAAAAAAAAAAAATGAAATAATCAATAATTCGTTCAGGTTGGTATCGGGTCAAGGTTTTTGGAATTTCCAAATGAATGTTTCATTAAGTGTTCTTTTTAAAAAAGGAATAAGGGATACATATTTTATTTAAAAAAATGATGAGATTTTTCCAGAAATGTCTCATGAATTTCCCCATTTTCTTCACCTTCTTCTTCCCTTTTATAAAACCACTTCCGCTATATCATTATCATTATCATTATTATTTAAAACTAAAAATTCGTTAACGTATCCGGAAGTACAAAATATTTTGTTACATCTTATTTTTTTAACCATTAAAACAAATTATTATTAATTAAATAATAATAATAACAATAATAAACTAACGTTCCAGAATTGTAATTTTTAGTTAAAGTACTCATAATGATAATAATAATAATGATAACGACCCTGAAATTGTAGGAGGAGAAGGTCAATTAATTAAAAATAGAAAAAAGTTTAATTCTCCAGTAACCCATCATCGTATTATTATTATATATGTATATTTTATTCTGGAATTGGTTGTTTGTCGATTGTCGGTTGTTTGTTTGTTTGTTGTCTATTCGTAACAAACAATAAGTGAAATTTAAATTTACTGTCGAAATTTAAAAAAAAAAAAAATATAAGTATATATTTGCTTCCAGTCACATTTAAAACGTGATTGGAAATACTAAAGGATGATTTTACTTTAATAATAATAATAATAATAATAATTTTTTTTGCATAACTCTTTTTCATTGACGCGTTCAAATAAATTCTCTCTCTCTCTTTTTTTTTTTTTTATGTAAAACTTTTAAAAAAGAAAAATGTTCTCCAGTAGAAAAAAAAATAAAAAAAAAAATAAAAAAAATGAAGAAAAAAAAAAGGGGAAAATTATTCGAATGAAAAATCAACAGAACCGGTGGCGGTGGCGGGGGTGGTGGTGGTGGGGATGTTGGGGACGGGGTGTTTTATCATTCGCGAAATTAAAATTTTAAAATTTTCTTTTATTTTGTCCAGTCTATGGAAATCTCATTCGAACGATTTCATATAATTTTATCTTTTTTTTTTAATTACAATAATAATAATAATAATGATTTTTTTTTGGAGAAAAAAAGGGGGCGAGATATAAACCTGGAGAAAAATAAAATTCAAAATTACGTCATCGTTTAATATTCGTTATGAAAATAAATAAAGAAAGTAAACAATAAGGTTTTACCATACGTGATACAATTCGATTTTTTTTTTTTAAAATTCGGGTCACGGTTGTTTATATTAAAAATTTTTTTTTTTATAAGGTATCGCATCATCGTAAACTAAAGATTAAAAGGTTCAGGTTGTTACCTGATAAATAAAAAAACAAAATTTTCCCAATGATGAAATCATTAAAAAATATGAATGCTTATAAAGGCCGACGATTTCATTTTTATTTATTTTTATGGGAAAGTGACGACGACGACGACGGTTAATAAATCGATACTCGTTCGATATATCGAACGATTATTAAAAAAGATTCTAAAAAAATTTTTTCTATTTATCGAACGGTAATTAAAAAAAAAAAGGGCAAAAAATGCAAAAATGAGAAAAAAAAATGAAAATTTAGAATGAAAAAAAAAAAAAAATTTTCCTAAATATTTTTCATAGTGACCTTTGACCTCGGTTTAAAAATTAAAAATAAATCGTAATAAGTTTTTTTTTTTTTAAGTTTCATTTTCTTTTACTTTCCAAAAAAAAAAAAAAAAATTGAAAAGTGAAAGAGAGAGAGATAGTTAAATACGCGTACGTACGAGTGCGAGAGAAACAAAAAAAAAAAAAAATTTCTATTTAAAAAGTTTTGATTTTTACTGGAGCGTCACGGCCAAACCGTCAAACCGTCCGTCCGTCCGTCCGTCCGACCGATTTGAAATTTTTGGCGGGAAAAAATAAAAAATGACGAAATTTCGATACTTTCGATCATAACCGAAAAAAAAAAAATTTTTTTTTAAATAGACGATTAATTATTATTATTATCATCATCATTTGTCACGCTCCAGTATTTATTTATTTCAAATTACGTCATCATTCAAATTTTTATCATTTCTTGACGATTTCCCGCCTTTTTCCCCGCTAGAAAATTCCCTGGTTTTTTATTTTGATCTTCAAAAATTATCTCTGGAGATTTTAAAAAAACTGGAGAAATAAAAAAAAAAAATTCCAGCATCGTGTCAAGTTTCAACTTATTTAAAAAAAAAAAATAACGTCAAATTTTTCATGATTCTCCATAATTTTTCCCGCCATTTTTTTTTTTTTTTTTTATTTTAAATTTTTTATTTATTTTAATTTTTACGCACTCAAAAAAAAAAAATTATTATTATTATTAAAACATTTTCATTCCCCTGGAATTTTTTTTTTTTTTTATTCATCACTGGAGGCTAATAAAATATATATTTATTAAGTAATTTTTTTTTAAAGCTGGAAGTAATTTTTTTTTTTTTTTTTTAATATAAAACTTACTCTTTTTTTTTTTTTTTTAACAGTAAAAAAAAAAAAAAAAATTTTCCCCCCTTTTTAAACAACCGGAAACGATTCCCAAATTTTTTTTTTTTTTTGGAAAAAATTATAATAATTAAATATAAATCATTTTTAATAATTTTTTTTCCTTTTCACATTTTAAAAAAAAAAATGGAGGGAAATTTAAAATTTGTTTTTAAAAATGTCGTTTGTCGTTAAAGTTTTTTTTTTTCCCCTTCTGAACAAATTCGATTAAAATATTATCAGTATAATTTAAAATATTTTTTTAACTTTAAACAAAATAATTGTTAATGATAATAATTATGATGATGATAATAATAATAATAAATGCATGAAAAAATGTCGTTCGGAAAAAAAAAAAACGGAAAACAGAAAAAAAAGCGGAAAAAGGTTTACGTATGGAATTAATTTCCGGTTAAGACGTTTAAATAAAAAAAAAAAAAATTTTTTGTAGAAACAAACGACCGTTGATGATTTCGTTGATTGTTAATGATAATAATAATAATAATAGTAATAATAATAACAATAATGTTACTTTTTTAAAATGATCATACTAACAAAGAAAAACAAAAAAAAAATTAGAAGATTTTGCAAACGTTTTTCTAGCCGTTTGTTTAATTTATTATTATTATTATTATTTTTTTTTTTTTTTTTAAATAACCGCAAATTTTATTGCCGTTTGATTGCCACGGGGAGGCGGCGGGAGGGTCGGATGGGGGGGAAACGGAAATAAATAAATAAACGTTTTATAATTTAACATTTAAGTTCGTAAATCTTAAACGTCGAGAAAAAAAAAAAATTAATTACCGGTTGTTGTAGGAATAATAATGATGATGAGAAAATATTTGACAACATTTAAAAAAACAAACAAACAAACAAACAAACGAATTTAATATAACGCGAATTTCCTAATTTCAAAAATTTCATTAAAAAAAAAAATAGTTTTCTTCATTTTTTTATATGTAGCGCTATAAGTTCGCGTTTTTTTTTTTTTTTTTTTGATTCAATCGAAACTTTAACGCATCGCTAAACACTCTCACCCTCTCTCTCTCTCTCTCTCACTCTCTCTCCTTTCCCCCTACCCTCCCTCGCCCCTTCTCTCTTTTTTTTAAAATTTAAAATATGTGTATATATATATATATATATTTAAACTTATAAATTTTATACTTGAATAATTATTTAAAAAAAAAAAATTTTTTCCCTTCATCTTTTTTATTATTATTATTATTATGTTTTTTCAATAAGTGAAAACAAAAAAGAATGAATGAATGAATGATTGAATGAATAAATATTAATAAACGTTTCGAATATATATTTTTATCATATATATATATATATTTCTGAATTTTATTTCGTTATCTTATCTCTTTTACAAAAAAATTGTCTTCTGCTATTTCCGTTTCATCGATCTTTTTCATGATTAAAGGGTTAAATTTTATTTTTAAAAGTTTTTCGCTTGTTTTTTTTTTTGCAAAACGGTATCGAATGTCGAGTAATAATAATAATAATAATAATTGTGTGGGTTGTTGTTTGTTTGTTTGTTTCGCGTATTTAATAAAAAACCGTGTCAAGGTTGTTTTGCTAATGATCAGGTTTGCAATGTTTCGAGTTTACTTTTTTTTTTTCGTAAAGAAACATAAAAGTCACGTTACGTGTGTGTGTGTGCGTGTGCGTGTGTTGTTTATGTTTTATATACGCAACATAATATTAATAATAATAATAATAATAATTCTTTTGCGTTGGCGTTATGATTTTTTTTTAAGGGTTTTTCCAAAATTTTTTTTTTTGCAAATGTTATCCTTCTGGCAGACGACGATAAATATTATTATTATTATTATTATTATTATTATTATCATTATTATTATTATTATTATTAATATTATTATCATTATTATTAATATTATTATTATTTTTATTTTATAATTGCATACGAACAACTCCTTATACGAAAAAATTACGGTTTTAATTAAGTTTACGTTTGTTGTTTGTTGTTGGTTTTTTTTTTTAGAGAGAGAGAGAAAGGGAGAGGAGGATGGAGGGTGAAGGGTGAAGGCTGGTAGGAGGGTTTAAAGAGATCAAGAGGGAAAGGGATGATGACGACTCAAATGTTATTTGAAAACGTTTTAGATTAAAAAAAAAATAAAAAAAAAAAGACAGGAATTTTTTAATCTTGTGAATTTTTTTTTTTTCATTTTCAATTATTAAATTTATTTCGAATATGCGTGTGCGTGTGCGTATGTGCGCGTGTGCGTGTGTCGTTTTATAAAAAAATAAACAATTTCAAACGTGAATTCTTCGAATCGATTCCCTTTTATTTGTCAAATACGTTTGATTTATTTTATTTTTTTTGATTTTATTAAATAAATAAAATGAAATAAAATAAAAAAATATCGTGCGTTTAGAAAAAAAACGTCGTACGCATAAAATTAATCTGCCACTTTTTTTTTTACTATTACTACTACCACTCCTTATCATTCAATTCGAGTTGCGACATTTGTCTTTTCTACTCTTAAATTAAAAAATTCTTCTTTTTTGTTAACCCCCGAGAAATGCGTTTCGCACTTACTTTCTCCTTCCCCTCCCGGTAGCAGGGAGAGTGTGGGGGGCTCAGCTACCCAACTAAAACTCCCTAATGTGTTTCATTGTGTTCTTTTTCCTGGAGGGAGGCGTTTCTCCTCAGCTAGTACCATCAGGTCCACGATGATGGGAATCCCATCGGAGGAATATCCCGGTACTTCCCTTTTTAAACATTCTCTATAACTGAACTCCGAGTAGTTACACGATTATACCACCACTTCCGGCATATTAAAAAATTCATTCTCCTGCCACGACTTTTTTTTTTTTTAAATAACTTAATTTTTTTTTTAAATTATTAATTTTATTAATTCCTGTTTTTTTTTTTTTAAAAAACGAAAATTTAAATTAAAATTTAAAAGAAAAATTTTTTTTCTCTTTTTTGCTAAAGTTTACAAAAATTTGCTATCGATAAAATTATTTAAATAAAAAAAAAACTTATTAAAAATCTTTTTTTTAAATTATATAAATATAATTTAAATTTTCATCGCCTTTTTTTTTTCTTTTTACATTTATTTAAAACGCCGTCATTTTTAAATAAAAAAATTTTTTTTACTTTTTATTAATAATAATAATAATAATTAAAAAAAAAAAATTTATTTAAAACTTGATGACGTCGACGTCGACGACGACGACGACGGTTAATTTAATTATTATTATTAAATTTGTAACATCAAATCGTTTCATCATTACAATCCGGGTAAAATTTAAATAAAATTTAAATAATAATAATAATAATAATTTTAATTTTATTTTCTTTATAACAAAATCGAAATTGAAAAATTTTTTTTTTATTTTTACTTAACAAAAATGGCTTTCAATTAAAATTTTTTTTTTTTTTTGAATAAATTCACACTTAAAAAAATTTTTTTTTTCTTATAATTTTATTGAGTTCATCATGATGATGATAATAATAATAATAATGATAATGATGAATTTTTAGTGACGTGATTTGTATTTTTTATATTAAGGAGCTGCGAGGTATTGGCTGGCAGCTTCGATAACGCAACAAGCGACTCTTGCACCGGCATTTCCGGTTTTTTTACTTTCTTCGTTTCCTCCTTTACCCAAATCGTCTTCTTTTTCGTGTACGACGATGGATTTACCCAATATTTGTAAATTGCTGTCGGAACACAAAGTTATTTTCCTGTCGGTCAGTTGAAACGTTGAAAATCCGCTCGGATCAACCGGTATGTTACCCAAATCTCCGGCGTGACGTATGGTTTCGTGGGGGGCACCGTGTGTGAGCTTTAAAAACGCAAATTATTATCATTATTATTATCACTATGGCATCGTCAGGGTAAAAAAAAAAAAAAAGAAAAAATTTTACCTGTTCCGGATTGAAATGAGGTCCGGCACCTTTGCAATTATCCGATAGATCTGGATTTTGATGTACGTGAAAACCGTGAAATCCTGGAGATAATCCAGATATCACTCCAGTTATTTCAACTGGATCTTCTGGATTTGTTTGTCTAAAGATTACGTCTCCGGTTACTTATGGAAAAGAAGGAAAAAAAATCAATTTAAATTAAATCGTAAACGTGCGTTTTTGCAAATCGTTTTCCTTTTTCTCTTTTTCACATAGAAATCTATGGAAAATTTCATTTTCTATGTATGCAATGACGTCACACTTTATAAAAGTTTTTTTTCGGTTAACTTTCTTCTTTTCCGATAATAATAATAATAATAATAATAATTTTTTCGAAACGTTTGCAATAGCGATTGGTAAAAAATTTTTAATTTGAAATTAAATTATTGAAATTGGCTGGAGAAAAAAAAAACGCGCGACGACTGGAAAAAAAATTCCAGTTTGTCCGAACAGAGAAACTCGATCAATTATACAAACATTTAATCGAATCATTATCATTATTATCATTATCATTACGAAATGTCAAACGAGTGTTATTACGCGCGTTTAATTTATTATAAATTCATGAAACGTATTTTCGCGCTACGATGATAATAATAATAATAATCTAACGCTTCATATTATTATTACGACAGGTTATTAAGAAACCGTACCTGATTTTATTATAATTTTAATAATGATAATGATAATAATAATAATTAATTTTTAAAAAATTTTTTGAACTTGCGGGATTTGATAATTTTTCATTTGCCGCGTAGGATTTTTCATGAATTTTTTGGTTTTTTTTTTTTGCTTTTCTTAACCCCTTTCCCCTCTTCCCTTGGCCCTCTCCCCCTACCTGTTAGACTAAATTTTAAGTTGTTTGTTACTAAAAGAAAAAAAAGAAACAAACGGCCGACCGATGAATAAATAACGAATTTTTTTTTTTTTTTTTAAACGACGGCTTTAAAACTTTAAAATTTTTTTTTAAAAAAGTTTTTATCATTATTATTATTATGGATAGATTTTTTTTTTTGAGGGGGGGGTTAAAAAAAAAACCATTATGGCATTAAATAATAAATTTTCTTTAGTAATTAAAAAGAAAAAATTTTTAGTTTGTTCGCACCTGAAAAAGGAAAAAAAAACGTTAATTAAATGTTTAAGTAAAACTTTTTTTTTTAAGCCCCTCCCCAAACCGCCGACACAAAAAAAAACAACCGACAATTTTTTACTTTTTCTTCTTCTTTTTCTGCTGTTTGTTGTTTGTTGTCGTATTTTTTTAAACAACTTCATCATCGTATTGTTTATTATTATTTTTCCCTCCGAAAAAAAATTTTTTTTTAATTTTTTTTTTTTAAACCGTCGAATAAATAATAAAAAGAAGAAAATTACACGTTAAGAAAGTTGTTGTTGTTTGTAGTTTTTTGTTGTTTGTTGTTGTTAATTTTTATTTAAAATTTCGTAATTAAAAAAAAAAAAAAAAAAAAAAAAAGTCAAATCCAAACTAGTTTTTTTAATTTTTTTTTATTTTCATTTCGCTTCGTGGTGCCCAAACATAAATAATAATAATAATAGCGATGATGATGATGATGATGATGATAATACTAGCGGGAGTTACGGTGATGATAATAATAATAATAATAATAATAAGAAAAATTATTTATCGTTTTAATTTTTCCAAGAAAATTAATTTTTAACATTTAAATTTTTCATTTTGCAAACACAAAAAAAAACCCCTTTTTCTTTTTTTCCTTTTTTTCCTTTTTTTTTCCTTTTTTTCCTTTTTTTTCCTTTTTTTCCTTTTTTTTTCCTTTTTTTTATCCAATTAATAAATTAAATTTAAAACGTAGAAAACGATTTTTTTTTTGGCGGGAAAATTAAAAAGAAAAAGAAAAAAAAAGTTTTCTTATATCGAATCGAACGAGGAGAAGCGAAAAATCGTCGTTTATACGTGATGAATGAAAAAACGACGAGTTTAAAACTTAACCAGTAAATTTTTTTTTTGTTTTAAATCATTCGTAACAGTTGGTAACACTTATTGTTGCTTTTTAATTTCAAATGGTCCCCCCTTTTCCCGTCCCTCCTCTCTCTCACCCTTCATAAAGTTTTCGATGATGTAACAAAAAAAAAAAAAAAAAAATACTCGTAGGCATCGTACCGGTTTAACACGTATTTCACATTCGATTTGAAAAAAAAAAAAAATAATAATGATGATGATGATGATGATGATTGTACGGCACGAAGAGAGAGAGAGAGAGAATTATTACTTGCGAAAAAAAATTTTTTTTTTTTTCAAAACGAGGTTAAATTTAATTTTAAGAAAAAAAAATTAAAAACAATTACCATTATGTCCCGATGACGATACAAGTTTACAAATGGCGACCGATGTCGAACGTGGTGATTGATCACGTGTTAATTCGATTCGTGGTACGTTATTCTGTTGGTGTTCAGGTACGACACCGCAGTGAACCAAACCAGAAAACGTTAATAAGGCGAACCTTTTAAAGAAAAAAACAAAAAAAAGAATTAAATAATCCGTCGTGAAATTCCTTCCTTTTTCTCTCCTTTCCTTCCTCCCTTCCTCTCCTCAACCCTACCGTAGTTCTTTTCCCGAGGGAGCAAAAAACAATCCTGGTAAAAAATTCTTGTCGAAAGGAAAAGTAAAAAAAAATTTAATTTTAAATTATTGTACTCGTATAAGAATTTAACACGTTGTCTTTCAATACGTTGTTGTTTGTTGTTGTTGTTGTTGTTTGCGTCGTTTCCTTTTTTTTAAGCTTTTTACTCGATCAAAGGTATTTGAAGTGAGAGAGTGAGAAAGAGAGAAAGAGATTGAAAAAAAATCTATTCAACCTTTTCGTATAAAAAAAAACGAAAAGGAATTTTTAAAAAGGTTAAAAAAAAAACATTTGATGAAAACAAAATTACTTTTGAAAGACAGAAAAGAGAGAGAGAGAGAGAGAGAGAGAGAGAGAGAGAGAGATAGTGAGAGAGTGAGGTTGAGAGAGAGAGAAGGAAAATAATTAATGGTCAAACAAAATGAAAAAAGATGAGGTGTCGATCGACGGTTAAAAAAAAAAATGTTTTCTCATCGACAAACCTTTTTCAAACCTTATTCGTTTTCCCACTCACCTTCCTCCCCCTCGCCCCCCTTTAAAAAAACAACGTAAAAAAAACAAAACTCACCAGAACAAAGACATTTTAATTATTATTATTTTTATTTTAAACAAACGACAAACATAACCTCACCGGTTAACTAATAACAACTAAAATGAATTGCTTGTTTGTGATTAATAATAAAAACCTGGCGAGATTTGTTCGTACCTTGTTTTTCACGTTGTTTTTCTTGTTTGTTTTGGTTGTTTTTAATTTTCATTTATCTCCTTTTAATTTAAAACAACAACAAAAACATTAAAACCCACTTTTTCTCTCGCGTTTCTTAGTTTCTTATAATACGACGACTTTAAAAAAAAAAATTTTTTTTTTTTTTGTTTGTTTTCCTTTTTCTTTTTTTTTGCGTGCGTATATGTTTTTATTTTTTTCTTTTGTTTTCTAGAACTTTTCGTCTTTTTTACTTCGTTCAAAAGGTTATTCGTTCTTTTTCCCTCTTTTCTTTCCCGCAGCAAAACATTTTCATTTATCTTTGTAATTAATTAACGCGATGTGTAAGACAATGAATTAAATTTAAAAAGGGACTAAGAAAAAAATTACCTTGTTTAATTTGTTCATTGTACGACTATTTGTTTTTGTTGTTTGTTTGTTTGTTTCTTACTACTTAAGTCAAAGAGAAAAATTTAAATTACAAAAACACGATGATAATAATAATAATAATAATAATCAAAACGAAACTTGATGCTGTTACGAGAATCGTATGTAAACCTGGAAAATTTTTTCTACGGGTATTTAAAATTCGTGTCAAAACGTAGTGATGATAATAATAATGATGATAATGATGATGATGATGATGAATTTTATTTTTAAATCGATAAAAAAAAATCGTATGAATGTGACGTCATACAAAGAGAAAAAAAAACAACAAACGACAAAAAATTAAATAAAAAGAGTTTTATGACGTCAAAAAATTTAAATTTCTCTCGCTCGGGGGGCAACGGTGGGGATGGGGAGTAGGTTAATGGAAGGGGAGAGGTGTTGGGAGGAGAGAGGAAGGAAGAAGATGAGAGAGAGAAAGAGAAAAGGAAGGAAGTGAAACGTTAAAAAAGCTTTGACATTTTGGCTTTGTTAAAAGGGGGGGGGGGAGAACCATAAAAAAAAAATTTTTTTGTTTTCGTTTGTTTGTTTGTTTGTAGCTTATATGACAGTTTAATCGTTGTAGTAGGAATGTTTAAATGTGTGTTTTTGCACTTACGCTATTTATTTAACACGTGATTTAAAAAAAAAAAAAATTGTATATAATCTATTAAAAATTTAAAATGCTAATAAAATTTTATTTAACTTATTTTTTTTTTTTACCGTCCATTTAATTTCTTAACGTTTAAAAAAAAAAATTCGAATTATTGCTTTTACATTAACGACTTTATTTATAGTTAACTTTAAAAAAAAAAAAGTTAACATTTTTTTTTTTTTGTTAAACGGATTTTATTACATGAATGCTTCTTTAATTCCCTTCTTTTTCCCTTTTCTCTCCCCCGCACCCTCCCCTCTCCCCGGATTTTTTAAATTAACGTTTAACTTCTTAATTATATCACGCATAAATAAATAAATAAATAAATAAATTTTTTTGGTTTTATTTATTTATTTTTTTTTTTTACATAAACAAAACGTTAAATTTATATGTTTTAGTTTTATTAAAGGCCAAACGTACTTTTTATTTTGGCGGTATGGCGGTGGCGGTGGTGGTGGTGGTGGTGGTAACGGCGGAGGAATTTTATGAATTTTTATTAGAGCGATTTGAAGAATTTTTTTTTTCTTTTTAATCGTTTGAACGTGTTAAAAATTTATTGGGGATAGATTTTATTATCATTATTATTATTATCATTATTGTTTTTTTTGTCGGCAGGTTACGGTCACATAGCGCCAAAAACTCATTGGGGTAAAGTGGTCACTATTTTATACGCCATATTGGGCATACCGTTAATGCTTTTATGTTTGTCGAACATTGGTGACGTCATGGCTCATTCGTTTAGATTTATTTACTGGAGAGTTTGCTGTTATATGTGTACGAGAAAACCTAAAAGAGTTCCTAGCAGAAGAGGAAGATCGATGAGAAGTACAATCAGATCAAGGTGTAATGTATTTTATGTTATAAAGTTCGATTTAGAACAAAAAACATAATTTTCTTTTTTCTCGAACTTTCTCTTCGATCGTGTGTGTGTGTGCTTAATTATTTTAATTTATGTACGTAGCGGAGGACGTTATTCCGGACGATATAGATCGTATAAACATCCTGGAATGAGAACGTCAACAAGATCGGCGGACAGTGCTTTAGGCTTATCAGAAACTATAACGAGGTCATCGTATTCGGATACCGAATGCAGGTTATAATTTTTTTAATTATTATTTATCTAAAAGTAAAAGTACGATGATAATTCACCAAGGAAAACATTATCAGGTACAACGACACCGAATTAAACGGTTTAAGACAACCGAGATCTCAACCAACGAGATATTCCGAGGCCGTTGCCACGACACATGCCGGTGATATAATGGCACCTCCAATAACAAACGTATCTCCGACAAGTTCAAAAAAAGAATCGAAACAACAAACACAAATGGTACCTGATTACGAAAGACCGGAAATGTACGATCCCTTTTATCTAGGTACACCCGTTTTATTTAATAAATATGCCATAGATAGAAACGAATCGTCGAAAGGTAAGATTTGTTTGTCAGTATACAAACGCAGCATCCGCACGATTAAAAAAAAAAAATGTTTTTTTGTACCTTTAAGGTAGAACATTCGAGAAATTCGAACATAATCCACACACATTACCTAGAAGGCATTACCAAAAACAGCAACATCATCATCATCACCACAGATCTCTTGAAAATGCACCGTATCAGGTAAAACTTTAATTAATATTATAAAAAATTAAAAGGAAACGTGGGTGGTTGCGAGGGTGCGTGCGAAAGTGGATGTGTGGGTGGGTGCGTGCGACCCGCTCGCATTCACGCACACGCACACGCACGCACGCATTAAAAAACGAAAAAGAAAAATTAAAATAATAAATTCATGGAGTTCATTACCAAATTAAGCACAAAATTTGATTTTAATACTTAATTTAGTATTTAATCAAAGTTTTCCCGTGGTTTAAAGTTAGTTTGCATTTAAATGGCAAAAAAAAGGGGAAAAACTTCTCCACGCCTCCAGTAACGAATTCAATTTTAGTTTTAAATACTCTCTCCAGAAAGATTATTAAACTTTATTTTTATTACCTTCTAGGTTTTTATACACACTCATTACTTTTTTTAAATAATAATAATAATAATAATTCCATGAATAATTACCTTTTTTCGAAATTAAGGTTACGTTTTTATTCGGACGTGATATATTTATTTATTTTTTTTTTATGGTAAAAAAAACAGGTACCGCCTTCGTACGAAGTGCATAATAAAAAAAATTTAGAAATTGAAAAACCTGATAGGTTATCACCACCGTCACACGTGCATACAAATCGTAGGGGTGAGTTTTTTAATTTTGCTGTCGTTTTAAAAACGAAGCTCGAAATAATTTTTTTTTTATTTTTATTTTTCAGGTCACACGTCATCATCTCCCGGTATAATGTCTCCGATGGGTTTTGCTGTCGCTCGTCACAATTATAAATCCCCAAGGACAAATAAAATCCGGGAAGATGTCGGGAGTGACGCACGATACGAACATTACGATTTCGACGATTACGATTACGATGCCAATTCAAGCAGTCAAGCAGCCAAAATAAAACCTGTACCTATATGGTTATGCGTTTTTCTAGTCGTCAGTTACATATTCGGTGGCGCTTTTCTATTTTCCGAATGGGAAAATTGGCATTTTTTAGATTCCGCTTATTTTTGTTTCATTACATTGACAACAATAGGTTTTGGTGATTTCGTACCTGCTCAAAGAGTACAAAAAAATGCTGAGATTTCAATTGCTTTGTGTTCTCTTTATTTATTATTTGGCATTGCTCTTTTGGCAATGAGTTTTAATTTGGTACAAGAAGAAGTCATTAATAACGTTAAGGCCGTTGCTAAACGTTTGGGCGTTATTAAAGAAGACGACGACGACGAAGATGATGTTTAGGAGTCTTACCAGATGAACGAACGCGTGAGTGCGTGAGTACGAAAAAAAAAATCACTGCCTTAAACCAAAAAACACACATATTCGTTTGTTTTCCTCAACTAGAATTTTTACCTACGGTCATGACGTCATCAATACATACCAGTAATTTATTACCGACAAACAATCTTCCTTTGATTGTTCTTCGATTCATCACACGACTATAACAAACAATTTGACCTTCGTTACTTGCATAGTTTTGGTCGACCTTGTTTGTTTTGAGGTCTTTTTTAACAATACACTTAATAAATTTTTAAATAAATATATAAACGTTATCATCGTCATCATTATTATTTTTTTGTTAAATTAATATCATCATCGATCATCTTAGGTAATTATTTATTTATGTATTTATTTCATTTTATTATTAATAAAAAAAAAACCATGGGAAAACATTATTAATTTTTTTATTTAAAAAAAAAATCGATTAATCGAAATTAAGGAAATGAAATAATAATAATAATAATTTAATTGATTTTTCAAACGATACACTACTTAATCGAACGAACGAACGTGGCACTAGCTTTATATCGAATGAGTCAACATAACCTAACCACGTTAGAATTAGAATTAGTCGAAGAATTTATCATATATCGCAAATATGAATAAAATAATTTATTATTATTATTATTAGTTAATAAGTCGTGGAGAGGATGAGAGGGGTCAAGGGGTCACACGACGATGAGGACGTTTTACAAAGGGAAAAAAAATTTTTTTTTAAATTTGCACACACATTGTTACAACATTTGACCGTGTGTGTGTTCATACGTACGTACGTACGTTCGTTTTAGAGAGAGAGTAATGCTCTAAAAATAAACGCAGACCACTTTTAAGAGAGAGAGAGAGAGAGAAAGGGAGAGAGAGAGAGACCTATTTTCGTCAGTCAGTTTGTGTACGGCTTTTGCCAATTATATTAACATGATATAATTCATTGACCGGGTAAAAAAAAAAAAATAAAAATTTTATTTATTAATTTAAATTAATTTTATCACACGCAGAATACACGCAGCAAACACGCAGCATACGCACACGCACGTTTATCAATTATAATGCTGATGATAATAACCATGGTGTCATCACGTAAGTTTTTTTTCTTTTATTTTAATTTTATTCTACTAAAAAAAAAAAAAAAAATTCTAAAATGAAAATTTTTTGTTGTGAAACATAAGTTAAACATCTTACGTGCATATATATTTATATCTTCTGCTTGCATGTTCTTTTTTTTTTTTTTTGTTTCCGCCATTTTACTCTTCCCCATTAGTAATTATTTCGTTCGAGTGATTTTCACCTGAGATATTTACGTGAAAATTGTTTTGCCACAACCACCTCGTCGCAACCGCCGCCGCAACCGTCGTCACCGTCATCATCATCATTATCATCATTATCGGTTTAAAAATTTGTTTTTTTTTAAATAACGTTCGAATATAACGTCACATGACACCTGTTTAATTCATTTTAATTAAAAAAAAAAAATTAATCGATTCGATCGATTTTTTTCTAATTCCACGAAACTTTTTTTTAGAGACATAATAATAATAATAATGTATATTTAACGTCACGAACATTTTTTTCCTGGGGGGGGATGGAGAAATAAATTTCGTTGGGTTATAAATCCGCATGTATACGGTATTTTTGTTTTTGTTTTTTTTTTTTTTTTATTATCGTCATTATCATTTTTTACAATAATAATAATACTAATAATAATAAAATGTATATGTATTAGTCGGTTGTAAAGTAATAACAAACATTAAAATGATTTTCTCTCTCTCTCTCTCTGTCTCTCTCTTTTTTTTGTTTACAATTGAGATACAAATAATCGGATTTTATAAAAAGGTTTTATATACATATATATATAATAAAATTCAATAACAATATAAAACAACAAACAAATTCACGGGGTGGTGGTGGTGATGGTAGTGGGGGGGAACAGGAAGTGGCGGCAAAATCGACGGCGGAAGTGGTGGTGGCGAAAGTAGAGGTGGCGCGGCGAAATCAAATTCTATGCGTTTAATGTTTATTTATTTATTTTTTTACGTAAAATTCTTTTTTTATTTTTATTTTTTTCGGGAATGGAATTTAACGAAAAGGGGGGGGACCGCGATGATGATAATGATAATAATATTAATAATAATAATAATAATAATAATAATAATAATAATAAATAAAATGGGCGCCGAATAAATAAATCACGATACGTTTTGTTTTTGCATTCTCTTCGGTTTTTTGTCATTTAAAATAATTTTTTAAAAAAATCTTTACGCACGAATTTTAGAGTGAATGAATGAATGAATGAATGAGTGAGTGAATGAATGAATGAATGAATGAATGAAAGAAAGAAAGAAAGAAAAAAAGAAAAACTTATTGAAAACTGTTATTCGGTTTTAGAAAAAAAAATCGTGGTTAGGTATTTGGGAAAAAGAGAGAGAGAGGAAGCTGATGGGGAAGGGAAGGAGGCGAAGGCAAAAGGTGAAAGGTAGATAGAGGATAAAAAAAAGGAAAAAGCGAGTAAAAAAAAAATAAAAAATCAAGACGAAAACTGCCAAAAGATAAATGAAAAACGTCAATAAAATCCTGTTGCTAGAAAATTTACGATAAAAAGTTATCTTCCATCAAAAAAAAAAAAAAAAAAAAAAAAAAAAGAAACCCCAAAATTATTTCTTCGAAAATCTTTTTCAATAAAAGGAAAAAAGATTTTGCCCCCCAGCAAAACGTCGTTGTCTGTCTGTCGGTTTGGTTGTTGTTGTTGTTGTTATTAAGATGAACCTTTGTAAAAAAAAATATTTTCTAAATGTGGGAAATGCTTGTTTATTTCTCTCTCTCTCCCCCCCTCTTTCTCTCTCCTCCCTTTCTCTCCTTTTCTCTCCCTTCCCTCTCTTCCTTTCCCTCTCTCCCTCTCTCTCCCCTTCCCCCTCTTCCTTTCCGTCTCTCCCCCTCTCTCCCCCTTTCTCTCTCTCTTTCTCTTTCCACACAACTCTTTGCAGATATTTGTAAATTTCACGACCTTATATACATTCAATCATTTTTTTTATTTTTTATTTTTTTTACGCAAACGAATGCTATTTACAAACGAATAAATGAATGAATGATCGATGTATCGATCGATTCATCGATTGAAAAAAAACGAGAGATTTTTTACTAGTATAAAATAAATTTTAAATAATCCATTTCCTTTATCAGCAATTTAAAAAGAAAAAAAAAATTTTTTTTTTTCTTTTGATTTTTATTAAATTATTTTACCTGCCAGATTTCATATCGACAACTTTTTATTGATGTTTTTGTATTTCTCCCCCCTCCCCCTCCCACTTTTTACATTACTTTTGCATATAAATAAACTTTTATTATTATTATTATTCCTTTGAGAAAAAAAAGGAAAAATATAAGAAGGAAAGAAAATATAAAATTTTTTTAAAAAACAATTAATAATAATAAAAAAAACGATGAGTTTATTTAATTTAATATTTTTTTTTTTTTTTAAAGAAAATTTCTAAAATCACAAAGGAATTTTTTTTTTTTTTAAACAAAAGCAGAAGACGACAAAAAGAAAGAAAGAAAGAAAAAAATTAATTATTCGTTTTTTTTAACGTATATTTTATTCGAAAAAATTAAAAAACGAAAAAAAAAAATGTCACCTTGCTCTAAAAAACATTAAATTTGGCAACCATTTTAATTATTTTAATAAAATATTCGTTATAATAAATTACAAAAAAAATAAAATTACAATTAATTAATTTATATATTTTTATTAAAAAAAAAACAAACAAACAAAAAGGATAAGGATAGAAAAAGAAAGAAAAGAAAAAGAAAAAGAGAAAGAAATTGTTTTGTAAATTTAAATTAAAAATTATTATTATTATTATTATTATTATTATTCTTTAAGAAAAAATAAAAATGGGATGGGTAGGTAGGTAGATAGATTACAAAAAAAAAAATTTAATTTAATTTTTATGACGTCACTAACAAATTATTATTGTTAAAAAACGAGAAAAAAATTTTAACGTTTTTTATTTGTTTTGTCGCGTCGTTCGTTAGTTTTGTAAAAAAAACAATTTCTTCAAAAAATGTCCGAACAATAAAAAAATTAATGACTTAATTAATAACAACAACGCGCGCGAATAGTGAAGTTGTTTAAAAAAAAAATCATAGAGAAAATAAAAATGTATTATGAAAAATGGATCGAAAGCCGTCACGCCGTTCGTACGGGCGAACCAACATCAGGCACGAAAAAAGTTGTAAAGAAAAATGTAAGGACTTCCTTAGACAATTTATCGCATTCATGTTTACCAACGTTGGCATCATTGGTTTGGTTGTTGCATATACAATCGCAGGAGCTTTCATGTTCATAGCGATCGAAGGTAAGAAATAATGCTGCTGCTGCTGCTAACTTGTGATTTTTTATTTTAAATTATTATCATTATTATTTGTTTGTTTTTCGACAGGAAAAGAAGGAGAATTTCTTATTGAAGACGTAATTAGATTAAGAAATAATACGGTTGATGAATTATGGGACGTCACTTGCTGCAAAATTAACGTTTTCAGTGAAGCGTCATGGCGTAATCACGTGTCAACGCAACTTATTGAATATCAAAGAACTTTTGTTGATGCCGTTCGAAACGGTTACGATCCAAAACATACGGATTCTTGGAGTTTTTCCGGTGCTTTTTTATATAGTTTAACCGTTATAACAACAATCGGTAAATATTTATTTGATTTGATTTTGTTTTCTTAAAAAAAAAAAAAAAAAAAAAAAAAACGAAAACAACGATTTAAACTTCATTAGAATATTTTAGGATATGGTAACGTAGCACCTAGAACGGAATGGGGAAAGTTGGCAACAATTGTTTACGCCATAGTCGGAATGCCATTGTTTCTTCTTTATCTATCCAATATCGGTGACATACTTGCGAAAAGTTTTAAATGGAGTTATACGAAAGTTTGCTTGTGTAAGGGATGTCCAGGTACGGAAAGTTTTAGAAGGAGAAAAAGAATGAAACAAAATATAAAAATGTCGAAAATGATAAAAAGTCAAAAAGATTTTTCACGTCGTCGTAATCGTAAAACCTCCTGGCAGGTAAGGCAGGCAAAAAAAGCTTAACTATTCAAAACAACGTCAAAAAATTTTTCTTACCTTCCCTAAACCCGAACGTTTTTTTAGCCGAACGTGCACGACGATAGTAGAAACGAAAAACGAAAAAAAATCGATGATGAAGAAGATGATAGCGATGACGAAAGTAGCAGCAGTAATAGTAGTAGTGGCAGTAGTAGTGGTGGCAACACCAGCGATACGAATAAAGAAACCGAAATTAGCCAATCTAGTTTAAGTATAGATGATTACGATCCGCAAACAGTAACGGTACCCATAACCTTATGTTTGGCCATAATGGTCGGGTGAGTGAGTGAGTAAGCGCAGCATAATTTTTCCAAAAAAATTTTTAATAATAATAATAATGTATTAATTTGTTACAGGTACGTGTGCGGCGGAGCTTTACTGTTTGCCAGATGGGAAAATTGGGGTTTCCTCGACGGTTCTTATTTTTGTTTCATATCTCTTTCCACCATCGGTTTTGGTGACATAGTACCCGGTGATTCGATAATACAAAGTCAAGTTATACAAATAAGTTTCATATTGACGGCCGTTTATTTAATGTTGGGCATGGCATTGATAGCAATGTGTTTTAATTTAATGCAAGAAGAAGTTATACACAAAACTAGATCTTGTATAAAATGTTGTCAAAATGTTTTTTATTGTTGTTTCGGTAAAAATAAAAACCAATCAGGACTGTAACGAGAATATTTACTCCTATTATTACAAAAAAAAAAAAACATTTTTCGAAAAGTTTCAACAGATTTCTACGGATACGATTGAATAATTTTTATTATTAAATTGTTTTCACTCATAATCATGAAAATTCGTATTAATATTTGTCGGAGCTTTTCCAACATTTATTCCAAGTTTCTACCTGCCGATCGATTCTTAAAGAATAAACAAGTTACAAATTTTTCTAATCTTAAAATTTTACACTAAAAATATGGTAAAATACGTTAAGGTGTATTAGAAAAACATAAGAATAAGGAGGTGTGAAATAAAATACGAAAAACGGAGTATTTTTGATACTTTTAATCGCAAAATACGTTAAAATGTATCAACCAATCATAAGAAAATGAAGGTGTACATTTAAAATCAGGTGTACGGAGATTTTATATTTAATAAATCAATAAATAAATAAAAAATTGATTTTTAATACATTTATTTATTATTAAGTTAAGTTATAAATACTTTACAAATTATATTATATCAAATTTTTTTTCTTTTATTTTTTTTTTTAATGCGTAATTTTTATTATTATTATTTAAAAAAAAAAAAAAATTAGTAAATTAATAAAATAAATCTTCAGGAAAAATTATTTGCTTCGATCGATTGAATTACAATGGCATGGCTCCCAGTGCTTCCACGATGACCGGAATAGTTTCTGTTTTCGTTCTCCACAATCTGGCTTTTGTCTGCTTCTTTGGCTGTCCCGTGTTTTTTTCTGCCGACACGGATACTTGAATTAGCTTACACCGCATTATGCTTCTCAGGATAATATCCGGTTTGTTGGCCGACGGCTAGAGTTTATGATATACTGATGTGAGAATTACGAATGCGTTTTTTTAATATTATTATTAATATTATTATTAATAACGGAAGGTATTATTATTAATAATATCGTGACAATAATGATGAATGATGACGTCATTAATCGGTTTTTTTTTGTTTCCAGGGAATTTGACGTTGCCGCTTCCCAGTGTCGTCGACGCCGCTCATCACCAAGACAAAGTTATTTCCGGAAGGTGGCATCCGACAGAATTTTCATTTTTGAGCACGAGCGCCGACAAGACATGTACTCTGTGGGCTTTACCCTCACCATTTGAAACCACCGTAAAACACCGAGCGTTAGGATTTCGCGAATATGAAGTAATGTTTTCTCTCTCTCTCCTCACGTAAGCTCTCTTAAATTTGTAAATATTATTATTATCATCATTCTCGGGCTGTTGTACTCACCGTCATAGTATTTCCAGAACTTGAAAGTAATTTTAAAAAGAAAAGAGCATCGTAATCATAATCACCATCTAGTCAGAAATTTGTAGAAATAATTTTCTTATTATCGGAAAAGTGTCATCGCCACTAACCGAACGAACGCTTTTAGCAGTTATTATCACAAAAAAAAAGAGGTAGAGGCAGGGGAGTAGGTAGGTGGGGGCCGGGAGTTAGTGGCGTGCTCCTGTAATCCAGCTACTTGGAGGCCGGGTGCAGCAGATGACTCTGATCGTGTAATTCGGATCCTACTTATTGCTCATTGTTAAAAAACGGTCGGCGGGAGCACTTCGGGGTCCCGACCGAGTGTTTTCGTCGGCCAACAGGGTAATTAGGAACTGTGTCCCGGTGCGAGGGGGTTGAGAGTCGTTTTCCCTGATCGCAGAAACCTCTTCACAAGGCTTTAGACTACGTCCCTTCTCCAGGAATAATAATACCGCTTTTAACTCTTTGTCGTCTGCTGGAAATGATGTTGATATTACCCTTGTTAAAAATAATGATGAAAATGAAATTACAAGAGGAAATAATAAAAAAGGAAATTAATCGAAAAGGTGAATTTTTTTTTGTAATTTAATTTTTTAATATCTTCTGCTTTTTTTATATTTAATTTTATTATTATTATTATTATTATTATTATTATTTTTATTATTTATTAATTTATTATATTTTTAAATATTTTACATTTATAAAATTGCTGTCACGTTTAATGAAAAAAGCTATTGGAAAATCAACCTTCAATTTCAAATGAAAATGAAAAAAATAAAATTCAAAATGGTGAAGGAAAAAAAATTTCGAATTACGATGATGATGATAATAATAAAAATAAAAAAAAATCATTTTCAAATGTAACGAAATCGGAAAATTTAATTAATAATAGTAAAAAATCCGAGTCGAGAGTTCAATTATCTAAATTAAACGACAATAAAATTAATAATAATAATAATAATAGTTTCATCGGAGATGATAATAATCAAAACGATGATAATAATATTGAATTTAATAACACTCATAAATGAATGATAATAATAATGATGATGAAAAAAACGAGATATAAAAATAAATATTTGAATATTATTATTATTTTTTTTTTCGTATTTTATTTTTAAAAGTTTTTTTATTTATTTTTAAACCTCGTTTTTTTTTTTTTTTTAAATATTTTAAATATGGAAACGAAACGCTAATATTTCATTATTACTAATATTACTAAAAGTTTGAATTAATTAATAATTTTCTATTATTATTATTATTATTATTATTTTGAATATATGTATATATATATATATATTGCTTTTATAATACGGCCACGAATAAATATTTTTACATAATAATAATAATAAATAAATAAATAAAAATTAAATAAAATTTATTTATTATCCTTATTATTATTATTTTTTTATATTTTAAATTCTTTTCTCCATCCTTGGTCATATTAAACACATACATACACAAAATTTTGCTTTAAAATATAGTTATTTCATAATTCAAATTTTATTCCTATTAATACATAAGCTAAACATGAAAAATATGTGATTTTTTTTCTGACCAATCACGAGTAAGAATGGCGAGCGCCATTATTTTCTCATTATGTATACAAAGCACGCCATTGGTTAAAAATTGTATTGAAAATTGCATATACTCTAAATGCAAGGCGTTGAAGCGAAACGAAACTATCGAAAAATTGAGACCTCCTAAATATTATGTTTTACTGATACTCGGAACCAATTTTTCACTCATTTTTCGTGATTTTTTTTCGTTCGCCTTACTTTTGTGAGTTATGCAATTTGTCGTGTTTTCGCGTATTGCCAGTTGCATAACCAAAATTTTTAAGGATTTTTGAATTTTTTCGATTTTTTTCGTTTGCCTTACTTTTTTGAGCTATGCAATTTGTCGGGTTTCGCGTATTGCCAGTTGCATAACCCAAATTTTTTTTTAAAGAAAATCATACCTCCTCGACATTATGTTTTACTGATACTCGGGACCAATTTTTCACTGATTTTTTCCTATTTTTTTTCGTCCGCCTTGCTATTTTTAGTTATGCAATTTGTCGTGTTTTTGCGTATTGCAAATTACATAACCCAATTTGTATTAAAATTTATTTTAAGTTTTCTTTTGTGGGAATAAATGAATGATATAACCAAACATGCACAAAATAAAATAAAATTTAGTTTTATTATTATGTTTTTACAATATTTATGAACATAATTATTAATAATTTCGAATAAACATAAATTGTTTAATAAAATGCAGAAATATAATTTTTTAAATTATTATTATTATTAATAATATAAATTAATCAGGTTCAAGGTTTGTGTTGTTGATGATTTTCGTGACCCGTGACGGTGTGAAGTTGAGTTTGAAGTTGGTTTAAACTTTCAACGGCTTCGTTTAAAACTTTTTTTGTTAAATTTTCAAGTTCTGCACCAGCTCCAACCATCTTAAATTTAAATAAAACACAAAAAAAAATTTTTATTAATAAAACATAAAAAAAGAAGTAAAAAAAAAAAGAGTCAACATTCATCATCATCATCACGAAAAAATTCTTTTTACACGTGAAAAGATTTTTTTTTTTATGTTTTACCTGAGGTTCCAAATCAGAAGCTAATTTTTTAGATTCTTCAAACAAGGCGGTGAGTCCGGTTTGAAATTTTCCTTGTAATTCGGATGCTTTTTCAACCATTCCAGAACTTTCGAGTTGACTACGGAAAGAAGCAACTGTTTCTTGTACTTTTTTATTAAATTCAGAGAAACTTTCGGCAACCGTTGAATTCGTCAAACGTTTTAACTGAAAAGTTTTTTTTTTTTTTTTTTTTTTTTAACAAGAGCCAATTAAAACTTTTTACCTTGTTTATTAATATAATCCTCCTAGTCAATTTATATCTATCTAATGATGATATTATAATTTTCTCCAGACTGGAGAAAATTTTTTCATACTTACCTCATCATCAAATTGATGTTGTACTTGTTCTGCTTGATCCGCAAAATTTTTCGCTTGAGTTTTTATCAATTCAACGACTTCGTTTCCGGATGGTAGACTGTCCAAGCCCAACATTTTCGTTATGTGTTCACCAAATTCTTTTGCTTTTTCTACGGCTTTGGCAACATCGTCTTTAAAAACGGTAACGGCTTCTTCTTCTCCTGACTAATTTAAAAAAAAAAAAAATTATTATTAATCGACGCCATATTTTTTTTTTTTCGGGGCGGAAAGAGGGGCGAGAATCTAAAAAAAAAAAAAAAAAACTTACGGCAAAAACGCAAAAGCTCGCAACGGCAAAAAATAAAAAAAAATTTTTAGAAAACATTTTTTTCAAACGAAAACAATTAAAACAAACGAAACAACCGAAACAACAACCTTCTCACCCTGAGTCGTATCGAATAATGCTTCGTTATTATTAATAATTTTTTTTTTATTATCAGAATATTATTTTATTTGACCTTTGAACCAAGTAAATAATCCGTGATAATGCGCGCTTTGAACTTATTAATTTATTTAATGTTATCATCGTTCAAATTATTATTATTATTATTATTATCGTCTAGTTAAATAATAATGATGATGATCCGATAAACAATGAGAATTTTTATTAAGAAAAATATTATTGCGTGCAACGGATTTTTTTTTCTTTACTTTTCACGTGTGTGCGTTTTTTCCGGCCGCGTGTCTGTGCGTGTGCGCGTGTGCGCGTGCGTTTAAAAAAATTCCATAAATTTAAAAAAAAAAAATTAATTACGTAATTGATTTTTCGCCGCCATTTTTAAATGCATGATGGAAAAAGACGAAGAGAGAGAGATAGAGAAAAAAAAAGGATTTGAAAAAAAATATCGTTAAAAATTTTATTTTTGGAATACGATGAAGACGAAGACGCGATGACGATGATGATGATGATGATGATGTCTTATTCGGAAGTAATGAGAAAAGATGATGATGATGATTATAATGAAAAAGATGAACAATGAAATTTTGTATAAAACTTTGTTTAAAATTATTAATAATTCCTTTTAATATTTTCATCGAGTCGAGATTTAAATGAAATTGCATTTGAAAAATTTTTGCCGATTCAAAAATCTTTTTTATTCTCTTAAATTTAGTTTTTGACTTAATTGGGTTTTTCTTAATTTTGTTTTAAAACTTTGTTGAATTTATGATTTAAATGACTTTACCATAAATCAAACATTGATGATAATAATAATAATAATGATGATGATGATGATCGTTTGTTTTACAAACGTTGTCCGACCGATTGTCATTTGTTAAAATTACAATATTTTAATAATAATAAAAAGGGTTTTTGTTTTATTTAAAAAGCAAAAAAAAATTTAGGGGAATGTTTGGAAAGGCGGGGGGGTTGGAGGTAAGGGTGACGTCATTTACGACTGGAAAATTTTTTTTTGAAAGTACTGGAAAATAATATTTGTTACGATAAATTGGTGTGAACGCTAGAGAGAAAAAAAAAGGTATAAAAAATCAAAATGGAAAACGGTAAAAAGGGAAAAAAAAAACGGGAATGATTTTTAGCCTGATGGTAGAATCCTGGAAATCGTTCCAGAATAATTTAAAAAAAAAGAAAACACCGGAAAAAAGAGGGATTTATATGATAAAGGAAATTACATTGTGTCGCGTTTTTCACACATCGCTAAAGAATTTTAACAAAAATATTCTCCAGAATTCCGTTTGAAATCAGGTACGAAAGGATAAAAAAGGATGTCCTGGAACGAACGGATGTAAACTTTTTTAAATTTCCCGCGTAAAATTTAAAAATGGCGGTGCGAATTTTTGTAGAAACATTTTTTTTTTTTTTCAAAACCCCGATTCAGTCTACAAATCCTCACTCATATCATTCCAGTAAATATTTAATTATAATTAAAATATATTATTAAATTTGGAAAAAATTTTCGCCAGGAAAAAAAACAAAAAAAATCGTCTGCTGTTAATTTTTATAAAATCGAAAAAAAGAAAAAAAAGAACGGAAATAACTTTTCAGTATAATCAATCAGACTACTGACCTAATTGCTGGAGTCAAATTTTTTAAAAATTATATATCAATTCCAGTAATGAAAACTGGACAAAAACATTAGTAGAAAGTTTTACGATTTAATAATAATAATAATAATAAATTAATCATCGATCGGGAAAATACAAAAAAAAAAAAAAAAAATCAAATTACGAGAAACAATTTTTTTTTTTTTGTTTTCTTCTCCAGAGAGAATTTTTTTTTTTTTCTGTTACTGGAGAGAAAAAAAAAAATTCGATTTTATTTTCGCTGGAGTAACAACGGTAAATGCCTTAATTATTTTTGACGCATTTTCATTTAAAAAACAACTAACAGTTGGTTCTTTTTATAATTTTATTAATGATTCCAAAATGGCCGGAAGGTTTTTTTTTTTTTTACTCTTCCTCATCATCATCGTCATTTTCGACCTTTTTATTATTATTATTTTCCATAATAATAATAATAATTTTTTATAATATTACAAACGACATCTTTTTCATAATTTTTATTGGAATATTATAAAAAGTCATCACTGGAATTTTCCAAAAAAAAAAAAAAAATTAAATTGATAAAAAATTTTTTTTTTAAAACCAAAAAATTTTTTGTCTTTTAAATAAAAAAAAAATTATCTAATCAAAGGTCAAAACCTAACCGACGACGTATACGTCGAGGTCAAAGTTCATTTAATTTTTATCATAAAAAAAATAAAAAAAAAATAAAAACAACAAATAAAAAAATAAATAAATAAGAAAAGTAATTTTTTATTTTTCTTATTTATTATTATTATTATTATTACTTCGTTTTGTTTAAATATGTATTAAAGGTCATGCATTTGGGTAAACGATAGAAAATTCTAGAAGAAAATTTTTATTTCGAATCGTTAAAAAACGAATTTTTTTTTTTTAATTAATCGTTTCGTAATTTAAAAAAAAAAAAAATTTGATATTAAAATTACGTCATCACCTCAAAATTTCTGCCACGACATTTTTTTTTTCTAAACTATTCATATATAATTATCGTGGAATTTTTTTTTCTCTCTCTCTCTCGCTTTAACGCCGAAAAAAAAATAAAATTACGCAATAGAAAAATAAATTTTTGACCTTGATAATAATAATAATTATTAATAAAATAATTTCGCGTATTAAATTATTATTATTATTATTATTATTACGTAACGATTTGAAATATGGCTTGGGAAAAAAAAAAAGTCTTTACCCTCGTACTTAACATTGAATTTTCTTTTTTTTTTTTTTTCGTTATCGAATCGATAAACATTAATTATTATTATTATTATTAAATGTTTATTTATTTATTTATTAAGAACCGTTAAATAAGTAAATAAATAATAAATAAAAACGAGATTTTGTTGTTGTTGTATTTGAACCGTTTGATATTATGAGGGTTCACAAAAAAAAAAAATATTATTAATCATTTTAAGAAATTTTGATTAATGTTAATAAAATGATTCATCGTTTTTATTATTATTTCATTTTAATTTATTTACACGTTAAACATTTGGGAAGGGGGATGGGAAGGGGGAAGGTAAGGTAAAGGTAAATTAAATATTAAAAAAAATCCGGAGGGGGAGGGTTAGGGAGTGTTGGGAGAAGGTAAGAATTTGTTGAAGGAAGTGAAACATGACGCTTTTTTTTGTTTGTTTTTTTTTGGGAAAGGGAGAGGGGAGGAATAGAAAAATTTAAAATCATTAAACATCTCCCTCCCTCCCTTCCTCCCTCCTTCCTCCTCGCACCTCCCGAGAAAATAATTTTTTTTTTATAAAAAAAGAATTTCTTCTTACTCCGTTCGTTTTTTTTACCATTTTTTAAAAAACTGTTCGCATAATATTTTCCTTTTTTTTTCTTTTTTGAATTTTTTTATAATAATAATAATAGTAATAATAATAATAATAATTATTCATCAAAAAAAAAAAAAACTTACCGAACGGAAAAGAAAAGCGGAAGGTTATTTAAATAATAATAATAATAATAATAATAATAATGAAATTATTTCGAACTTCGTCGTTTTTTGATTTTTTTTTCTTTTTTTTAAAATTTTATTATTTTATTTTCCCGCTTTTTTTTTTAATTGACAGGAAATTAAGTTTAAAAAAAAAAATTTTTTTCTCCAACCGATGTTGAATTACATGTTTAACGTCCTTACGAAAACCGGAAGTTGAAAAAAAATTTTTTAGTGAGAGAGAGTTTTCCTCTAATTAACTTTTCACGAGAAAAAAATATACCCCCACTTCCCCCTTTTTTCTCTCTCTCTCACATATTTTTATAAGTATAATACTTTGAAATGGAAAAAATACAAATAACGGATCGATGATAATGATAATATAATAATAATAATAATAATAATAATAATAATAACGAACCGTAATTTTTATTTTCTCTTACTTTTCGTCATTTGTACGTCGTTTACCCGAACGATAAATTTATTTAATTAACGACTCTTGAAATTTTCTTAAAGTTATCATTATTATTATTATCATCATTATCATCATCATCATCATCGTTTCGTTTCGAAAAGACAAATATTTTTCGGTCATTCATTGGGTTGAATAAATTTTTTTTTTTTTTTTTTTTAAGGAAACGGAAAAGTGTGAAAAATTATCATCTTGTCGGAAAATAAAATTAATAATAATAATAATAATAATAATAATAATAATAATAAAAATAATAATAATAATAATAATAATAATAATAATTAAATTATCGATTTAAGAGGAATTACTTGGAAAAAAAAGAAGATGGGAGGAGGACGGGGGAGGGAAAATCTTGTTTAATGTACTCGAAAGAGTTTTTCTATATGTACATACTTATTTATTTATTTAAATAAATAAAACCGACACTAATTTATTTATTATTATTATTATTATTATTAATATTTTTTTATAAGAATCCGTGAAGAAATTTTACTTTTTCCATCCACCTACTTATTTATTTATTTAAATAATACTATTAATAATTATTATTATTTAAATATTATTTATTGAATTTTTTTTTTTTTATGTAAGTAAATAAACAAACGAACGAATGATAATATTAATAATAATAATTTTTTTTTCTTTTTCTGTTGGTAAACTTGTGATAAAAAAAAGAAAATTGTATAGGCTGTAAAATCGATTAACTTTTCATAAAAATGAAAAAAAAATTTATCATTATCATTATTATCATCATTACGCACGCGAAAATAATAAATTATTATTATTAATAAATATTATTCGTGCGTACGTATGCGTAATTTTTTTTTTTGAGGGGGTAAGGGGATGAAGTTTATTAATATAAAACGTTACATTATTTACTCCCGTACGCGGTTAAATAATTTATTTTAAGAGATTTTTTTTTTTTAAATCGTTGCCGCCA